AGGGTTGGGGTTGAGGTTAGGGTTTAGGGTTAGGGTTAGGGTTTAGGGTTTAAGGTGGGGGGTAGGGTTGAGGTTAGAGATTAGGGTTGAGGGCTAGGGTTAAGGGTTCAGGTTTAGAGCTTAGGTTAGGGCTAGGCTTAGTGTTAGGGTTTGGGGTCAGGGTTAGGTCTACGGTTAGGGTTTAGGCTTGGGGTTAAGGATTATGGATTAGGGTTCAGGGTTTGGGTTAGAGGTTAGGGCTTCGGGGGGGTCGGGGCGGGGTGGTAGGGATGGGGTTCCGGAGCCGGGGCGCGAGCCGGGGAAAGGGGGGGGGGGGGGGGGGGGTCGCGACGACGGTTCGGGAAAGGGGGGGGGGGGGGTTCGCCGACGACGGCTCGGGCAAGGGGAGGGGGGGGGGGGGGGGGGTCGCCGACGACGGCTCGGGCAAGGGGGGGGGGGGGGGTTCGCCGACGACGGCTCGGGCAAGGGGGGGGGGGGGGTCCGACCCCCCCCCCCCCCCCCCCCCCCCCCCCCCCTTGGGTGATCCAGCGGCGCGCCCTCAGCGATGCCTCCTCCGCCGTCGGTGCGTCAGTTCAAGATATACCTACAGCCTCAAAACCTAAGCGACGCAAGCCAGCTGCGACGAGCGCGGCATCTTCGGGCAGTTCATCAGCACCTGCGCGAGGCAGAGTACCGCTGCCAAGCGCAACCTCATCCTCGGGGCCTAGCATCGTGCGAGAGCTCGTGACCATGATCGACCGCGACGCAGTCGTGCCGGGGACGCCCACGTCAATGGAACAGCCAGCCACGCGACCGAATACTGGCATCGCACCAGCGAGTCTCACGGGGCGACAACCTGATGGCGCTGATCGGGTGGAGTCAGGGGCAGAAGACGTGGACCTCACTGGCGAACTGAGCAGACTCCTGGGCCTAGACGACATTCGAACAAAAGCAGCAGCATTGCCGTTTGTATCAACAGATCCACATGTCCGAGCACCTTCAGGCGTTGGCGAAGTTCTTTCTCTGCCAGGCCTCGGGCCTCTTCGCAGAGGACTGGAACCACCTGCAGCACATGCCGGCGGCAGATCCTGCACCCATCGAGCTGCCCATCCAGATCGACAGGCCAGAGAGCACTCGCATGCCGATCATGGGCGAGAATCTGCAAGTGCGGCGTAACGCCACGATGAGTCACATGAGCCTCGCGGCAGACGGTGAGAATTACATGGACGACGTCGCAGAAACATACATGACCGACTCGATGAATTTAGTATTGGAGCACCAGCGCCAAGCTACTTACTTCGCCGACCAGCTCAGGCAGCAGGACAGCACTCCAGTTACCAGTCTTCCTGGGAAGCGCTCCCAAGCAGCATGGGGTGTTGCAGGGCCTTGGCGGTCGAGTCAGTGCTTCCTGTTCAACCTGCGCTCAGGCGGGGCGGTGACCTGCGCGGCTCAGGCGGACGGCAACCTCGCCGATCAGGAGATTCACGAGAACTGGGGTCTGGTGGAGGCGGTGGACCGACACGAATTTACAGCGCTGATGGATCATGCAGGTTTTTTCCCCGCGCGGCGAGCAAGAGCTTGTATTCTCAGAACATCATGGGTGCAGTTGGAGTTAGTCTTTGGAAGTTCAACCCACAGAAGCAGATCTGGGAAGTGAGGTCTCGCTTGTGTGGCCGTGATTTTTCTATTTATATATATATGTATATATATATATATTCCCAGAAGCACCAGATGCAGCGACACTCCAGCATGGCATCGAGAATAAGTCAAACGTTGGCGGTCAGTTGTGCACAGTGCCACTCCAAGACGGACTTGACAGTTGAGACATTGCGATGCTATTTCTCCAATGACTACCGATCGACGAGTGGAGGAGACGACCTCGGGAGCAGAAGCTCTCGTGCATGAACATCAAGGGTGGCCCAGTGGTCGTGCGGCCTGTTGACTGCGGCTTTATCTTTGAAGCTTCTCAAGCCTATGCATGGACTGGTTGATGCACCGCGCCTCTGGCAGATCGCGCTCGCGCTGTTTTTTTTTTCCCCGTGTTTTACCTGGCAACTCGCGTCGGCCTAAGGAACGGCAGGTTCGCGTGCTGGACGGTGGGGGATATAGACATTCCGCGACGGCGACATCCTCGCGAAGCATATGAATGCGGTGTTACCGGGGTCTCCTGACATCGATGCCGGATAAGCTGGTGGCCCGCCTCTCGATTCACGTGGGCGCTTTTCTTGCGCGGCCCCGCGAGCGGACTCTGAACTTCACGAGGCAGGTGCTCGAAACAAAGTTTGGGGCGGGGAGACGTCATATTCTGCTTTTCACACACTTGTGCGTAGGATTGCATGTCGGAGAGCGACGGCATCATTATTCAGCAGCTTGACCATCTGGAGATCGTCAAGCCATGGGATGCCCCACCCTTGAACGATGATCACCTTGTGTCGGTGCAGCATGCGTATGCTTTTCGGATTATCTTGACGAGTCTGTTATTTCCGCGCCAGTGCAACGCACGCGCGCTGACAGAGGCCATTCTTCTGCAGGGTTGCAACGACGAGTCGGATGTGACCCATCTCAAGGGAGCCAATGCGTTATTTAAGAGGGCGCAAAGTGGCAATCATATGCTTGGACTTCACTATCCCCGTCTCTCGGGACATCATTGCCTTCGAGCCATGGGGGGTGCGAGCCGAGCGACGAGACTGTGTATCCACCAGAAGGTCAGGTGATTCTGCTGAGGCGTGACACACCGCGCGCTGGACTCGAAGGCGGACGCAAGCACCTACGAGATGTTATTGTCATCCGATGGCAATCCCTTCGGACAAGGCGAAGAAATTAGCGTGTTTGACATCCATGGGCTAGACGAATTGTGCTCTCATTGCTGTGAGCAATGCGCAGATGGTAGCTTCTCGTTTTTCGGAAATGCAGATGGATCGGAGCATTGCTCAGAAGTATCGTATCAGAACTATGATGGCTATCAATGAGACCGGCGCCTGCGATATTGCCTTTGATCAGTGGGCGGACTGTGCGGATGCGTTTAAATTGGTGACTGGAATGAGAGGAGTTCTCCAGAACAAACAGCAGCGACTTTTTGTGATGGCGCCCCGAGAAAAACGGATCGCGACACGAATCGGATGGACAGTTCACGTACCAACAGACTTCATGATAGCCGGTGCGATGACCAAGCCAGCAGATGATGAAGTTGCGCACGATTTTTTTCGACAAGGAGATCCCACCAAAGATAGCAACACCATGTCGGATCTCACGCCAGCTTGTGAATTACAAAGTAAGAACCTCGAGACGATCCAGCGCTTCAGCTACCAGCAGAAGTGCGCGTACGACGCGATGGGCCGCAGCCTCATGGGGAGTGAGTCCAGGTTCCGTTGCCGCCCGGAGCCTCCTCGGTCCAAATCCCTTCCTCTCCCTCTCTCGAGCTGAAACAGAGAGTTCTTTGGCCTCTTCTGGCAGATGCGGTTTCCCCTTTGAGTTTTTTATGTTTTAAAAAGTTGTTCGACAGTGGAATGAGACTGAGAGTATCACCAGCAGATACTGTAACTCATGAGATCAGACAGCGGGTTGTTCACACAATGTTTGCCCCTGCGCTGTGTGGCTCAAGGGCTCAGGGATTGCGCGCGTCACACTAAACAGTTCAGTCCTCTCTCCCTCCTCCCCTTCCTCCCTCCCTCCCTCTCTTCGGCAGCCACAGTCAGCCACCATCACTTGTCAGTTGTCATATGCTCCCCCCCCTTCGGCAGCTATCGTCAAAGGCACTGCTGGGGTCCCCGCTCCCACCAGTGCGCACGTCGGCCATGCCTTCAGGATGCATTGCGTGGGGCCGGGGCCCTGCTCACGGTCGTTGGACCATCGGAGGCGGCTGTGGGGAAAAGGTGCCCGTGCACATCCAATTTCTTCTGCCAACCCTTGCAGTGTGGCGTGGCTTGCCATCCATCCAGTGCTTCCCTCCCTCCCTTTTTCGCTCCTTCCCCATCGTGTCATCCCAAGTACGTGTTCAAGAATTGGTTTGCATTCTTGGAAAGGTTCAACAGAGGCTTAAGGCCCAGTGCTTCTATTCCAGAGGGTCTGTTATAACTACGTTATTGTCCCCATTCCAATGTCGTTTCCCTCCCTCCCCTATACCCCTCCCTCTCTCCCTTTCCTCTCTCCCTCAGGCTCTCCCTCTCCTCCCTCCCTCTCTCTCGTGCTCTTCTCCCTCCCCCTTCCTCGCCTCCCTCCCTCTCCTCCCTTTGTTCCCCCCCTTCCCTCTTTCCCTCTCCCTCTCCCTATTTTTGTTTGTCCCTCTCCGTCTTCTCTCTACCACTATCACGGCGATGCATCAGTGTGCTATCAGGCTTGGTCATAAACTGCCTAGCGCCCAGGCGCAGTCAGGACCCCCCCGATTGACATATCTCAGAGAACAGTGACCGCCTGAATCGGCTTTCATCTGGCTCGATCGCCTGCTCGCTTTGGGGCCGTTCCCCAGACGAGCCACCAGGCGCGCCTCGATGTTCACCGATAGCACGCCAGTTATTGCCCCTCCACGTTCTGCGTATGCTGCGCGAGAGGCGGGCAACTTGTCCGTAGCTCTAGCGCTGGGCCGCCGCGGGGGGGGCCCGAGGTGGCGCCGTCATTATCAGGGCGCTGGATCACGCATGTCAGAGCGTGTGTAAAACTGGTGCCCCTTTGCCCACGGGCGTGCAGATGGGGCGAGTCTCGCCTGTATCACCACGTTCGCTTTTGTTTTCCGGTCGTGGTCTGCACAGACCGCACCAGGGGGAGGATACCCATATCACTGTTGTTCACGCAAACACCACCTCCTGGAACATGAGGTGGGCGCGGTGGGCGCTGGTACCCCGTTCGCGTTGACGGACACTCCGCCCGAGCTGTCGCGATCTCCTCCTTCCCCTTCCTCCTTCCCTCCCCCTTTCCCTTCTTTTCCTTCTTCTCCTCCGTCTGCCCCTCTTCCTCCATTTCTCCCTCCCCCATTCGGGGCATGCCTCGCCCAACGCCCCCCCCCCCCTTCCCCGCCCACGCGGCAGGCAGCCCACCTCTCAGGCCCCGTCTGCGCCATGCTGGCGCGGGGCGGCGCGGGGCTGGTGCCGCCCCCGGACATCGGGGCTGCCAAGGGTTCCCCTCCTCCTCCTCCTCCTCCTCCTCCTCCTCCTCGTCTTCCTCCTTTTCCTCTTTTTCCTCCTCGTCCTCGTCTTCCTCCTCGTCCTCCCCGTCCTCCTCCTCCTACTCCGCCTCCTCCTCATCCTCCTTTTTCTCTTCCGTTATACATGATCGCTCCTCGTTGTCGCACCCCGTTGCCGGTCGAAGGCGTAGGCCGGGCGTTTCGTCTGAGATGTCCTGACCCTTCATGGTCTTGAATTTTCGATTTGCAATCGCTTCGCTGATGGAGGATGGGTCGCTTTCAAAATGTGGCTCTTTCCCAGCACCCCGCACATTCCTATGCAACACTACAACGGATGAGATGGCTGGCCATTTTCAAGATCTGACTATCGCCCCAGCGTTGCGCACATTCGTCTTCAAGCTGTGCAAAAGCTTCACGGATGGGCGGAGGCCCGCTTTCAAATGTGGTTGTCGCCTTAGTGATGTGCGCATTCGTCTAAAATGTTTTCGAGAGTTTCACGGATGGAGGGCGGTTCTTTTTCAATCGCTTTTAACGCTGTGCACAATCATGTTGAGAGTTTGCAGCAGTTTCTCGGACTATCATGTTTTACGTACCCGCAATGGTGTTCAGGCAGGTAGCGGAAAGTCAAGGCGCAACTGTTCTCTTTTGTGTTTGTTGAAACGGAGGGATCCCCCCTTGCTCACCGGGCGCTCTTTTTCTCCCCCCCTCTGCAGCCATTGCGGCTTTGAGCTGCGCAAGTGCGAGGGGTTCCCGCGCGCGCGCGCGGCGCGGCGGCCCTGGACCCATGCGGCTCCGTGGATGGGGCCTGTTCGTTTCCCTGGCGAGGGCGTTGAGTGGAGGACCCCCTGACCCCCGTCGCCCGCCAGGAAGCCAGCAAATTCGTGTGGATGGGACAGCGGCCGGGGCAGTCGCAGGAGCCGCACTCCTGGGTGACGGGCTTGCCCCCGCACGGCCGGCTGGGATGGGCGTGACGAACCCCCTGGATGAGGGATTGGAGGGAAAGGCCGATTCAGGCCCCCCTCGGCCCATCGTCGACCCGAGTGACGGCGCCCCTCCCGGAGAGGAGGTCTCGGACTTCCCTGAGCCTGCGGAGGAGCTCACGGAGGGGGAGCTTCTGCAGTGGGGAGGACGAGGAGCCGGACGCGGAACCCTTGGAGCAGGGCAGCCCCATCCGGACCTCCCGACAACGGGGCCGGAGGTGAGGGCTCGGGCGGCATCGGTGGGGAGACCCCGGCGGCTCCGCCATCTCCGCGCGAAGTCGCGGAGGGACCCGCGCGTGCCGGCCGACGCCGGAGGACAGCGGGGGAGGGCGACGCCGCCGAGGATGCCAGCCCACCCATCAGGGCTCGGGCCCGCGACGGGCCATCTCCGGCCTCGGATGGATCCTGCTGTCTCTTCTGGGCGAGGGGCGGGCTGGATGGGGCCCGGCGGCCAGTGCGCGCCAGTCGCGGCGTGCGGGGGCGTCCTTCTCCTCCTCCTCTCGATCGAACGAGCTCTGCGCCCTCGCCCTGACCCTCGCGGTCGGAGCCCGCGTGCGGGGGGCGGGCCCCGGCCCCGCTGGGGCCGGGGCCCCGGCCCGCGTCGACAGGAGGTGGCCGAACACGCACAATGCCGCCACGAACACCTTCATCCATCAGGAGGGAAAGAAACATACAGACACAACTAATCCTCGATTCCCCAGAAAATATGGGAAAACATGGGAAGTGGGGGGGGGCAGACAGAAACCTAGAAAATATGGGAAACTATGGGGAAATATTTTCTATTGGTGTGAATTTATGTGTGTGTCCCAGGGCCCCTTCAACCTTCTTCCAGACGAACGTTCGGGGGCAGAGCGCGCCCCCACCGCCGCCAGAACGACCCCTTCTGCCGGGTCTCCGGACAGGCGGTCCGACTTCGAAGGGCGGAGGGATGCCACGCTTCCGCGGCTCACGGGGCTGGGCAGCCTTTCTATCACGGGCAGGTTGTCCAGCTGGGAGGTCGTTGCCGTCCGTCCAGCTGGTTTTCGGACATGCGTTGCCGCGTCTTTTTTTTTGGGGGGGGCGTGAGACTTGGTTGTAGTTGGGGTTGGAGTTCGCGTTTTTTTGCGCGTTATACCCGCCGCGAGAGGAGGAACCATGGGGGCATTAGCGATGTTGACAATGATCGGGGCGCTGTTCACCTTTCGTTGTCGCAACGAACAAAATAGCAGCGCGGCGAGCTGCGATCGCATAAATTTGCCACTGCCCATGCGTTTGGGAAAAGGCTTTTTTTGCAGCAGGTCGCAATGTTTGCTTCAACTATCGTGCAGTTTAGCACGCATGCGGGATCCTGCCAAACATGGGGGAGGAGGAGGGGCTCGATCTTAGCAAACGCTCAAAGCCAAGTGCGGGAAGGAGGAGGAGGAAGACGACGACGATCCGCCTCCTCCTCCTCCTCCTCCCTCCTCGTCCCCCCACCTTTTCCTACTCCTCCCCCTCGCCCAGTATTATACAGTCGTCGTTGCATTCTCGGATGCTTCGCCGGTCTATGCTCTGTCCTGCGTCCCCCTCTCCTCCTCCCTCGCTTTTTCCTTGCGCCGTCTCCTCCCCCCTCCTCGTCCTCTCTCCTCCTCCTCCTCCTCCTCGTTCTCCTCCTCCTCGTTCTCCTCCTCCTCCTCCTGGTCCTCGCCCCCGTCGTCCTCATCCTCCTCGTTCTCCTCGTTGTCCTCCTCCTCCTCGTCCTCCTCCTCCTCCTCCTCCTCCTCCTCCTCCCCCCTCGTCCCCATCCTCCTTCCCCAGCGGTTCTTTTGGGCCTGTTTTGGGAATCTTTCGAAGTGACTTATGATATTCCCTGGACATTGCCCCCCGTTCCCGTGATCGGTTCAAGTTTCTGTGGAACGTTCCGTACCACGATTCACTGGCATCAGATGCCCATCTTGCAAGCGGTGGATTTTCGCGAACAATCGCCTTTCAAAGGCGAGGCGGTGCAGTACCCTCGCGATGGTACAAAACCCCTCGTCGAAATACGCGTGGAAGCACATGGAGTCCCCTTGGTAATGCACATCGAAGCTGCAGTGTAAAAAAACTCGGATTCGCGAGGGCGAAGCGAAATTAGACTCTCATCTCCCCCTCCTCGCTTGTCTGCGCGTGCGCCTTTCAGCATGTCCGCCGCCATTTCGGGGTCGAGAGCGGAGTGAGCACTGAGACGTAGACCAGGGCATCTGCCTGCATACGTGGTTGCTGGTGTGGCACGAGCTCCTCCTCAGGGGGGGCCGCCCGCTTGGCGGTTACACCCCAGCGTCCTGGGCGGCGGAGATTCGGTGCCATTTGCGCTCTGTTGGGGTCGCTAACCCCGAGGCTTGGTTTGGGCATGATGTTCGGCGAGGCGCCGCTGCGGACGTTTTGGCCGCATCGGGCGTGGAGGCCATGCTCGCGCGAGGTGGCTGGCGCTCGTTGGCGTCTGCTCCGGCCTGCTGGCGCAGGGCGTCGTCGATGATTCTGGCCCTGAGAATTAGGGCACCGATGTGCCTCGTCTCTGGGCCCCTCCCTCTGTTCCAACATTGGCATTGGGGCGGGGAGCGGCCTGCGAGACTCTGTCCATGGCCAATGAGATTAGGAGGAGGGTTAGGAATGCGAGCTAACTCGGATTCGCGAGGGCGAAGCGAAGTTAGACTCTCATCTCCCCCTCCTCGCTTGTCTGCGCGTGCGCCTTTCAGCATGTCCGCCGCCATTTCGGGGTCGAGAGTGGGGCCGCTTGTCCCGCCCTCCCGCGCCCCTTGTCGTTTCACGTCTGGCAGTGGCGCCGCTGCGCCTCCTGCCCCGATTGCCTGCCGCTCTGGGGCGGGGAGCGGCCTGCGAGACTCTGTCCATTGCCAGCGAGAAAACAGAAGGAGGATGGTTAGGAATGCGAGCTAACGTGGTGTTTAGGCTTACACTTGACACCACATCGACGGGATTGGTTATTGTGCTCGAGCGCACACTCCTGAAGCCCCACGCTGGCCTCCGGAGACGGGCTCCTGGGTGCCACCGCAACAAATCAGCAAAACCACCGATCTGGTTCCTGCTTGCAGCAGTGCGTGCGCATCCACGACCTTATGCAATGTGCCTTGGAAATCGCCTGCCAGCTTTAGGATAGATGGGGAAACGTGCCGACTTTCAGACGCTTTCAAGCTGAGGGCGGGGTTCCCCCGAGTGCCGATCATTGAAGGTTTGAGGCTGCCTTCCGTGACAGACTTGTTGGCTTCCTCTCCGATTGTCTTGGGGGGGCAGATACACAGAGGTCATATCCGTAAGGGCTTCGCCCCCTGCCGCCGGCCCCCTCTCTCGGAGAATGGGCCATGGAAGAGCTAAGTCATGAGGCTTTGGCGCTGTCGTGCAGCAGTATCGGAACTTCATGCGAGGCCGATTCGCAATCGGCAAAACCAACTGATCACAAGAGGGGTTACCACACAGGGCGATTGGTAAGACGTGTATGGTTTACGAGCTTGGTTACCACACCTTGGGATTAAAGGGCCGAGGGAGTACTCGCAGTTTGGGTTGCCACGCCTTGCGATGGATGTGCGTGAGGGGTGGCACGGAATTTCAGAAATGTGGCAAATCCCCTGTGTTTTTGGACCTTAACCCTGCGGATCTGCGTGAGGGGTGGCACCGAATTTCAGAAATGTGGCAAATCCCATGTGTTTTTGGGCCGTGACCCCGCGGATCTGCGTGAGGGGTGGCGCCGAATTTCACACATGTACCAAATCCCCTGTGTTTTTGGACCCTGACCCCGCGGATCTGCGTGAGGGGTGGCGCCGAATTTCAGAAATGTTGCAAATCTCATGTGTTTTTGGACCCTGACCCCGCGGATTCTGTGAGGGGTGACACCACATTTCAGAAATGTGGCAAATCCCTTGTGTTTTTGGACCCTGATTTCGCGGATCTGCGTGAGGGGTGGCACCGAATTTCAGAAATGTGGCAAATCCCCTGTGTTTTGGAACCCTGACCCCGCGGATCTGCGTGAGGGGTGGCACCGAATTTCAGAAATGTGGCAAATCCACTGTGTTTTGGAACCCTGACCCCGCGGATCTGCGTGAGGGGTGTCGATTTCGAGCCCCCCCAGCAATTCAGACAACGCGCCCAGGGGGTGCTAAAAAGCCGATTTTGGCCTCCCCCCCATCGCGCGGTCAATCAACTAGTTACAGTAACCAGCAATAAGTCAACTAGTTACAGTAACCAGCAAGAAGCAGAACTGTAACACTGGAAACTGCAACCTACGCCTGGTACAGGAAACTGCGAATCACGGGCCTACAGCCTGGTGGCCCCACAAGGGGGCCGGCGGATTTACAATGAAAACATTGTGGTAGCAAACAGGAGGCTCGTCTCATCATTATCGTTCTTACCATTTCCATCTTCATGTGTCCTCAGTTCGTCTGTTTCTCACCGTGTCTTCCTATTCGCATCCCTTTTTGCCTATTCCCCCTCCTCAGTCGCGCCTCTCCTCTCTCGCTCTTCTCCTTGTTCTACCATTGCTGTTGGATCCTCCGCATCCCTGCTCCAATCATGCCCGTGCCCCTCCTCTGCCGCTGCTCCTGCTCCTCCACCTGTTTTGCTTGACGCCTGAATGCCAGCACGTGCCAGGAAAAAACCCGTTTACAACCAGGATCGGAGTCCTCGGGTCCCATCGATGAGCACCAGCCGTGATTGCTTTCAGGGCATCTCGGATCTGCTCCGCCTGCCGCGACGTGCGCACGTTTAGCGCGTCCGCGGCCACGGCCCGTGTTGCGCAGAGGATCCAATCCTGAGGCATGCCGAGGTGGACTGTGTGCACGCGATCGGTTCGAACAGTTTCCAGCTCTATCCCCCAAAAGAGGGCCGACGAGTGGATGTCTCTCGTGAACCGATGGCTCGCCGCTCGGCCTCCAAACTATCGCCATGGCAGGGATGTCATTGATGGATGGAGAACGATTGGACACCTTGCATCGATCATGCTGGCTCCAATCGACTTCCAGCGCGGAGCAATACAAGACCAACCTGCACACATTACGTTAACATTGGTCCTTGCTTTTTATGGTACAGTTACCGCGGCAGTCTGTTATCGCAGAGGGCATGCTTATCAGGGGTCGACACCAAGACCTCGCAACCAGCACGACATCACGATATTCGTCCCTGGTGTTGGCTTTCCACTTCCATGGTTCTGTAGAGTCCATCAGTGCCTGGAGTATGTGACAGTTGAAGCATGTACGGCGTTTGCTGTTCCATTGTGGGCGCCCTCACCGATGAACGATCTCACCCCAATGTCAGAGACTATCCAACACGATAGTCTTGAATCCAAACGATTGCCCATTACATTTTGATCTCTGCTCGTTGCCCTCCCTGAACGGGGCGCCGTCGCGACGTCGCGTTGGCCACTCTCCGTTGAACAGGGCTTGAAGTGACCATTTAACCATGCAGAAGACAGAGAACAGCGAGTCCCAGCCCCCGCAACCGCACGGGCATAAATTCTGTTTGCGAACAGCGACTGCTAAATGCCGAAGCGAATTGTTAATGAATTGCACGGTGAACGCCAACACGGAACCCCTTGTTTGGAATTCTGAAGCGTCAAGGTAGATAGTTATCTGAATAATGCGGGGCCTGTCTGCAGCAGGGGACTGGACCATTAGAGGATGGCGCTCGTAGCATTCAACCCACTTCTGCTTGCTGATTTCAACGGCCCACGATCTCAAGATATCAGGATGTTCTGCCAATTCGTTGACAAGACGCTCGTCTGGAGGATTGACAGCTACCCCAACGCTCTCGACACAAGCACTGCTCCGCACAAGAAGAGGAGCTTCCCGATCATACAATGCGTCGTCTTTCTCAAAACCCAAAGCTTCGTCCAACTTGCGCTGGAAGTGACCGCTCGAGCTGTTTGGCGACAGCTCGTGCGGCTTTGGCTCCCGAGTGCTCGCACGAGACGCGTGCCAGCAGAGCGTGCACGCTCGCCTCGCGCTGAGATCACCAGCAAGGTAATGTTCAATTAACCCATCCACAAGCATCTGACCATACGACACGGGTGGCTCGATCGGGCCGCATCAGCATCATCATCATCATCATCAACATCATCAAACGTGTCCCAAACTGTTGAACTAGTGTGTGGCTCGTCCCAATCGTTGTGTGATCGCTTCATTATCGCACTGAGCCAAACTAGGCTACACGGAGGAGGGAGGAAACCGGACGCATCAGGGGGAAGAGCACGGACGAACACGATGTCGAATTGACGAGGGTGGTACCGAGATGGACGAGATGAGGACGAAATCATGACAACGTGATTGAGGAGACGAGTTCGAGGCGAAGGCGTACGAGACGAGCACGAGGCGGTGGTTGCGAGGAGGGTGGGGTCAAGATAATTCGTGGATGTCCTCGGGTTCTGAGTCGCCTCAGCAGTTGACAAGGGTCTTCGACACAAGCTAAAGGCCCTGGGACTTCGTGCCCTGGGGCCAAGGGCCTCAGAACGTGAGGAGACATCCCTGGGAGGGGGGGGGCGCCGCCTATCTCTTACCTTTCTCGATCCTCCTCCTCATCCTCTTCCTCATCCTCCTCATCCTGATCCTCCTCATCCTGATCCTCCTCCTCCTCCTCCTTCTCCTCCTCCCCCACCTCTTGCCCACGCCACCCGCCTCCTCCACCTGTTGCCTTCATGAGGGGTCCTGTGATCAAAGTCCAAAGTTGGCGTCAGCGAAATACGAGTTACGCGTAAAGCATGGACCCGAGCATCAGTATTGAAGTTGGACTTGTCCCAGACATGCCCATCACGTTGAGCCCTTAGGTCAAGGACGAGATGTATGGTGTACCCTAAGCCATTCTAATTTGGAGGAACATGCTGTGTGCATGTGTGTGTGTGCGTGTGTGTATTTGCGTGTGGGAAGGGGCAACAGACATTGGCATGGTGTAGATCAACTATCGCCTTTAGCCCTCGAAAGGGGGGGATCTTGTTGGGGCGTGTGCGGACCCTCGCAACGGGCCCATACCGTGACAAGTCTGTGGCACGAAGTCAGGACGCAATTGTTCCTTGACCCCGGTCCCGAGCACAGGAGCAGGAGCAGAAGTAAGAGCAGTAGGGAGCAGGAGCAGCAGGGGAAGGAGGGGAAAAGTAGAGGACGAATTTTATGGGAGATGCTAAGTTTTTGCCGTCGGAGTATGAAGAGTGAGAGGAGGGAGGAGGGAGAGAGGAGGGAGGGAGATAGGGAGGGAGGGAGAGAGAGAGGGAGGGAGGGAGGAGGAGGAGGAGGAACATGATGATGATGAGGAGGAGGCGGAGAAGGTATGAATTCGGAGACCATGCGTTTGAGTATTTGCAGATGGCCCAGCAAGCTGCCCCAAAGCATCGGAGCTCGCACGATCGGGATCCACACACATTCCAGCTCGCTGAAGTTTCGCGTGCACCTCCGCTATCAGCACCCGCTTGCTCGACCCAGCCGCCTGGGGCCGCCTTCCCGTCTCGCCCGCCAGAATCTACCCTCCCGATTTGGCCGTCTGGGCTTGCCACGTGCTTTCTGCTCCAAGTCCCCCTCCTGCTAATCTATCGTGTGCTCCATCCTTCTCCCTCCCTCTTGTCCTTTCCTTCATATGTCCTCTCTTCCCTTTGTTTTAGGCGCGTCACATTCAAGCTGCAGGTACGGACGATGTACCCCCAGATGCTACGATCGAAGACGATGCGTACGGGTATCGAGGGTTTGGGAGATTCGTGTTCAATGGCACGCGAGCAGATAAGAGCGAACTGTTTTGAACTGACTGTTGTTATGTATGCTGACGATGACGATGACGTTCAGGAGGACGATGACGAAAACTATGACGATGCTGACGGGGATGATGCCGACAATGCTGACGATGATGATGGTGATGCTGATGATGGGGCAGACGATGCTGCTGGAGACGAGGATGACTACGATGACGATGCTAGTGATGTTCCCAGTTGCGGTGCTGATGTTGATGCTGCTGCTGCTGATTATGATGATGCTGATGACGAGTATGATAAAGGAGATTATGACCATGCTGGCGACGTCAAGTGTTATCATTATTATTACATTGCTTATTAGCATGACGAAGGTGATGCTGCTGATGATGATGCTGCTGATGATGCTTAGTACCTAGATGATGAATATGATGATGATGCTGATGACGATGTGCCTGATGATGTTGCTGGTGGTGGTGATGATCATGATCGATGATGTTGCTGATGATGCTGCTGATGATGCTGATGGTGGTGGTGATGATGATGCTGAGGATGATGATGGATGCTGATGGTGATGCGAATGATGCTGATGCTGATGATCATGCCAGCGATGCCGTTGGTGTTCGGCTGATGATGCTGGCCGAGTGCAACGATACTAATGCAGCTGCTGATAGTGATAATGATGAGGATGTTGCGGCTGCTGCTGCAGATGTTGATGATGACGACTAGTATAAGCGTGAGGTTGATGCTGCTGTTGATGGGAGTGGTGGTGGTACGGGTGGTAATGATGAGGGGGGTGAGGCTGAGCAGGTGGGTGAGGAGTAGGAGGAAGATGAGGAGAGGAGGAGGAGAATTCATGGAGGCGCGGGGGATGAACGGGAGGCGTGGGGGATGGAGGAGGAGGAGGAGGAGGAGAAGATGCAGGCGGAGAGGATATTTCGGAGTGAGGATGGAGGAGGCATGTGATGACGCATAGGAGGTTGAAGATGAAGAGGTGATTGGGAGCAGCGGGATGGGTGGCCGAGCCTCATCATCGCTGTGGCTGTAGATTTGAGTCGGGCCTGTCCTTCTACAGAGGGAAAATTCAATAATAGTAAAAAATTGTCTGGTGACGATCTTTTGACCATGATTTGACTGTTTTTGAACACACTTTGGCTGATTTTTTTAGTTTCGTCCAAAATCCCCCTGTAGGAGGACACGCCCGACCAAACTGCAGATGCCCCGAGGAGAGCCCGAAGGCGACGAGACGCGCGCTGGACCTGGCGGCGCGGTCGCTGGGCATGGAGGAGCCGCGCGGCCCTGGTGCGTGGGGAGGGGGAAGGGGGAGGAGAGCGAGGGCGCGTGATCACGTACAGTGGGGACCCTGAAGAAGGAACCCTTGTCGTTTGGGCGGGGCTCCGCGTTCCTTAAGTGTTTCACAGCTTGCCTCAGGCTTTCCTTATGTTGTCAACAGGAAATCGAAGGTTAACTTATGGAAAAAAGGGGCCTCGTTCCTTATTTAGGGTTCCTTAGGTCAACGCCCCGACTGTACAGTGGGGGCGCGCATCAAGAAACCATGTGCTTGCCGTCAGGGTGCCCTGGGTTTCTTCGCTCCGCATGCTGCGCGGTGACTTCCCGCAGCCGGTGAAGGAGCCGCTGCGTTCAGGGTGCTCCGGGTTTCCCCTCAGGTGTACCTCGCGCGCGGGTTTTCAGGGGATGAGAGCGAGGGCGCGTGAGCATGTATATCAGGCGATCGCAAACATGGATCAAGGGGGCGTGGATTAGCGACGGGTCCCGTTTCCTTGGGGAATCGCGGATTGCCGCCGCCGAGCGAGGCGGCACCGGCCGCATTTTGGGAAGGGTGCCTCCCCCGATCCATGGATTTTGCAACCGCGCGCCAACTCCATGGATCGCTAATCCATCTTTGCGCGCCCCCGAAAATTGAGGTTGGAGGGTGGAGTATGAAGGAGGACGGGGGGCGAGGCATGGGACGTGACAATGGGTGGGGGGCGGACGTGCGAATGTGCGTGTGTGTGTGTGTGTGAGTGTGTGTGTGTCTGTGTGTGTGTGTCTGTGTGTGTGTGTGTCTGTGTGTGTGTGTCTATGTGCGTGTGTGTCTATGTTCGTATGTGTGTCGTTCTCTGTGTGTCTCTGTGTCTCTGTGCCCCTGTCTCTGTGTCTCTGTGTCTGTGTGTCTGTGTGTCTCTGTGTCTCTGTGTCTCTGTGTGTCTCTGTGTGTCTCTGTGTGTCTCTGTGTATCTGTGTGTGGCTGTTTGTGTCTGCGTGTGTGTGTGTGTCGGTGTGTGTCAGTGTGTGTCTGTGTGTGTGTGTGTTTGTCTGTGTGTGGCTTTGTGTGTCTGTGTGTGTCTGTGTGTGTCTGTGTGTGTCTGTGTGTGTCTATGTGTCTGTGTGCGTGTGTCTGTGTTCGTGTGTGTGCCTTTGTCTTTGTGTCTGTGTGTCCCTGTGTCTCTGTGTCTCTGTGTCTCTGCGTCTTTGTGTCTGTGTGTCTCTGTGTCTCTGTGTCTCTGTGTCTCTGTGTCTCTGTGTCTACGTGTCTCTGTGTGTCTCTTTGTGTCTCTGTGTACCTTTGTGTCGCTGTGTGTGTGTCTGTGTGTGTCGGTGTGTGTCAGTGTCTGTCTGTGTGTGTCTGTGTGTGTGCCTGTGTGTCTGTGTGTGGCTTTGTGTGTGTGTGTCTGTGTGTGCCTGTGTGCGTGTGTCTGTGTGTGTCTGTGTGTGTCTGTGTGTGGTTGTGTCTGTCTGTGTGTGTCTGTTTGTGTCTGTGTCTCTGTGCGTGTGTCTCTCTATGTGTGTGTCTGTGTGTGTGTGTGTCTGTGTGTGTCTGTGTGTGTCTCTGTGTGTGTCTGTGTGTGTGTGTGAATGTCTGTGTGTGTCTGTGTGTGTTTGTGTTTTTCTGTTTGTGTCTGCGTCTCTGTGCGTGTGTCTGTGTGTGTGTGTGTGTGTGCGTGTCTGTGTGTGTCTCTGTGCGAGTCTGTCTGTTTGTGTTTATGTGTGTGTGTCGATGTGTGTGTGTGTGTGTCTGTGTGTTTCTCTGTGTGTGTCTTTGTGTGTCTGTTTGTGTGTGGTTCTGTGTGTGTCTGTCTGTGTGTGCCTGTGTGTGTCTATGTGCGTGTCTCTGTGTGTGTGTGTGTCTGTGTGTGTGTGTCTGTGTGTGTGTGTCTGTGTGGTTGTCGGTGTATGTTTGTGTCTGTGTGTGTCTTTGTGAATGCGTGTGTCTCTGTGTGTGTGTGTGTGTGTGTCTGTGTTTGTCTCTGTGTGTCTGTGTGTGTGTGCCTGTGTGCGTGTGTCTGTGTGTGTCTGTGTGTGTGTGTGTCTTTGTGTGGGTGGTTGTGTCTGTCTGTCTGTGTCTGTTTGTGTGTGTGTGTGTTTGTGTGTGTCTGAGTGTGTGTTCGTGTATGTGTGTCTGTGTGTGTGTCTGTGTGTGTGTCTGTGTGTGACTGCGTGTGTGTGTGTGTGTGTGTGTCTGTGTGTCTGTGTGTCTCTGTGTGTCTGTGTGTCTCTGTGTCTGTGTGTGTCTGTGTATATGTCCGTGTACATATGTGTGTGTGTCTCTGTGTGTGTCTGTGTGTGTGTCTGTGTGTGTCTGTGTGTGGTCGTGTCTTTGTGTGTATGTGTGTGTCTGTGGGTGTTTGTGTGTGTGCCTGTGTGTGTGTGTCTGTGTGTGTGCCTGTGTGTGTCTATGTGTGTGTGTGTGTGTGTCTGCGTGTGTGTGTCTCTGTGTGTGTGTGTGTCTGTCTGTCTGTCTGTCTGTCTGTCTGTCTGTTTGTCTGTCTGTGTGTGTGTGTCTGTGTCTGTGTGTCTGTTGTTGTGTCTGTGTGTGTCTGTGTGTGCGTCTGTGCGTGTGGCTGTGTGTGTCTGTGTGTGTGTGTGTGTCGGTGTGTGTCTGTGTGTGTGTCTGTGTGTTTCTGTGTGTGTTTCTGTGTGTGTGTGGGTGTCTGTGTGTATATGTCTGTGCGTGGGTCTGTTTGCGTGTCTGTGCGTGTGTGTTTGTGTGTGTGTGTTTCTGTGTGTGTGCGCCTGTGTGTGCCTGTGTGTGTGTGTGGCTGTGTGTGTGTGTCTCTGTGTGTGTGTTTGTGTGTGTCTGTGCGTGTTTGTCTGTGTGTGTCTGTGTGTATGTGTGTGTGTGTCTGTCTGTGTGTGGCTGTGTGTGTGTCTGTGTGTGTGTCTGCGTGTGTGTGTGTGTGTCTGTGTGTGTGTCTGTGTGTGTGCGTCTGTGTGTGAATGTCTGTGTGTGCCTGTGCGTGTGTGTGTCTGTGTGTGTCTGTATGAGTCTGTGTGTGTCTGTGTGTTTGTGTGTGCTCGCCTGTGTGTGTCTCTGTGTGTGGTTGTGTCTGTGCGTGTGTGTCTGCGGTTGCGTGTGCGGTTGTTGGTGTGGATGCATCTGTGGGTGTTGGTGTGTGGGTGTGGGTGTGGGTGTGGGTGTGGTGTGGGTGTGGTTGTGTGTGTGTGCGTGCGTGCGTGCGTGCGTGCGTGTGTGTGTGTGTGTGGGTGTGTGTGTTTGTGTGCGGGGGGGAGGGAGGGAGGAGGAGGGAGGAGTATTTAGCATGGAGGGAGGGGAGGTGGTGGAGGGGAGATGAGGAGTAAGAGGAGGAGGAACAGGACCAGTAGACACCCCAGTCGCATCAATCGCGTTGCAAGGGATCCTCCCTCCATGGTCCCTCTCCAGATGTTCATACAAGAACTTGTCTCCATCGATTGCGGGAAGTGCCCCATTGAAATACAACCTCTGAGAATCCGAAATCCTGGGGCTTGAACGTTGTGGAGCAACGTGGCTGTTGCGTCCTGACAATCGTAAGTCGTGCCAGAACGCAGTTCCTGGGACTTCAGCAACCGCGGATCATCTGGACGTGCCTCTTTGCCCGTTCTTGACCCCTCAGACTGCCTTCTGACAGCCCAAATGGTACCCTCCATTCCAGCCCTGCACCCTGTCTTACCCTTCCTGCATTCATCGTCGTACCTCTCTCCTTACTCTCCCCTCCTCCTTTCCACCTCTCTCCGCCTGATCATCCCTTCCCCTTTCCTTGATATCCTCCCTCCTCCATCGCTTCTTCTCCTCTTCCTCCTCCTTCGCCTCTTTTGATATTTCTCCGTCCTTATCTATCCTGCATTCCTGCTCCTGTTCGGTCTGGAGCCTCCGTTCTAGCTCCTCCTGATGCCTATTGCTCGCATGGTCCGCATACCTTACTGCTTTCTTCCTGCTGCCCCTCCATCTGGCTCCCTTCTCTCCCGTCCCCCTTCTTATTGCCCCCTGGCTCCGCTATCCGCCTTGCGTCTACATGTTTACCCTTCTTCTCACTCTGCATCCTCTGTTCTCCCTCTACGCTCCTCTTCGCCCTTCTCTCTATATCTTGCCCCCGCGTTATTGTCTAAAGGCTCGGGTATACTGCGCGGTTGAATTCCCCAGGCGTGCGGTGATCAAGTCGAACTTGATTGAGCGCGCGCGCGAAATGCGTGCGATGGTTCTAGTATTTGTAGGATCGTACACATGAGAGTGTGCATGCATGCGTGCTTGCATGTGCATATACACATATATATATATGCATATATGCAGATGATTGTATACATCTATATAGGTGCATATATGTATATTTAACCACATGCATGCATACATGTATGGTACCTATTCGCTAATCAGAGTTAAGGGGGCCGAGCTGCGTGTCATATCGCCTCCTAGCCTGATACTGTTTCAGAAAGATATGATTGGCTGCGCTCCACAGCCCCTCGCGAGGCTCGAGGAAACAAAAAGGTTTCGGTTGTGATATCAGATACCTTCCGCAGATACCGCCGCCCATTATGGGTTCTCGGATAGTAGCGGAGCGCTACGGCGCTGCGGGATCCACGGCAGTAGCGACATCGTAGAAGGCTGGCGAGAACGAGGGCTTCGAGCTGATCAACATTAGCAGCGGCGGGGAGAAAGACCACCAGTGCGACTGGAAGAGGATCACGGTTCAACTGGTCTCGCTCGGCAGGATCAGAGGATACTGGTCAGAGTTCGGCAGGTGGCTATGCGCTATCAAGAAGCAGGGCCAGCTCGCGATTCAGGATATCGGGGATGGCAACGCCAGGGGGGATCGTCAGAAGGCTCGAGGCGCGCGAGCAGGCGAATGTAGAGCTGGTCCAGGAGGCTCGACGACAACGGGATCGAACTGATCAACTACAATATGCAGCCGCGCGCGCCGGTGATGGCGGCACGGCGGCAGGGGCTGCGGCAGGAATGGCCGCGGCGGCGACGGCGGAGCTCGACGCGACGCCGTTCGACACGAAGATTATGAAGAATCCCGATCGGTTCGATGGCAAGCAGGAGTCCTGGTCAGACTGGTGTTTCTTGTTTCGCAGCTACGTTGCATCCCAAGACGAGCGTGCCATCGAGCTGACGGATCGGATCACGACCATGGACGAATAAGTGATCATGGGTAGAGCGTTCAATGACGAGGAAGCCGGATATGAGAAGCGCTCGAGGCTGCTATTCCATTTGGTAAAGGTGAGTATGGCGATGCAGTGTCGTGGATTCAAGCTGATCAAGAACACGAAGAGCTCCAGCGGTTTCGAGGCTTGGAGGCAGTGGACCATGGAGCACGAACCCAGGGTCAAGGGACGACAGGGTGCGCTGCTCAACCATTTGCTGAACGCGACGTTCAAGGCTGGAGTCGGACACAGAGAAGCCATCGTGACGTGGGAGCGTGAGGTCACTGAGTATGAGGAGCAGGTCGAGAATATCTCGCCAGCGTCTATCAAGGCGATCGCGCTGGTCCAAGGGCAGGAAGATGAAATTCTGAAGTCTCACCTGACGTTGAACTCGAACAGGCCCATGAGGTATTAGGACATCAGAAAGGAGGTCTTGGACTACATCGTGAGTCATCGTGTTTGGCATCGAGACAACGATCAGGGTGCACCGATGGACGTGGATGCAGTTCGCAGCTGGTACGACAGAGGTGGTAAATACTCGAAAGGCAAGGGCAAGGGTGCCAAAGGTAAAGTCAAATACGACAATGACAAAACCAAAGGTACAGGTAAAGACGACAAAGTAAAGTCCAAGGCTGTGAAAACGACGAGTGGTGCGACTGGTGTAAGATGGCAGGACACGTGACGGAGACGCGCAGGACAAAGAGACGCTATGATCAGAGGCAGGCGAGCCAGAACAACAATGCCAATGCAGTCGTTCCTCAGCAGCGACCAGTTCAACCTGGATGCGCGACGTCCACCGCTGGCCCGGACGACTCGACATCTCTCGCGAACACGATTCACATTGGCACGTTTGCGCAACATCACCTGGACATGGCGAGGAGACTGGCGCAATCGACAGTCGGCCCATCATCGGCGGTTTCAGGATCGGTGGTGGCACTTCAACAGGTGAGAGGCACGCCGGCCACCTTTCAAGAAGAGCGCGCGCGCCCGTGGCCCGACGCAGACGACGGGGGGCCCATCTGCGTGAGCATGCGGGCGGCCGCAGGTGCGAGCAGCTTTGACGGCGACGACGCGGACTACCTGGTGATCGACGGCGGCGCAGGCATCGCTACTTGTCTGATGGTGTTCGCAGAGGCAGAACCTCAGGGCAGTAGCAACTTGATGGAGCCGAAGTACTTGCTGCCGCTGGAGGCCGCGACGGGGCAGTCGATCATCCACAATGGCGCGCGCGGGGTCAACTTCATGGCGACGGCGCTCGACCGGCAGCAGGAGATCTTCATGATGAGGTTCCAGATCGCGAGCGTCAAGTGCCCGATCGTGGCGCAGCAGGACTTGCTGGAGGCCGGCTCCGTTCCCATGTACGGGGTGCACTCGAGCGTGCTGGAGGCGCCGAGCGGACGGATCTTTCCATTGGTGCAGCAGGGCCGCATCTGGCACATGACGGTGAAGCGCGTGGTCACAGCCAGCGAGCCAGCAGTCGCGATCGCCCCGCTACGACAGCCAGCGGTAGCTCAACCCATTCCAGCCCACTGGGATGGACGACAGCCAGGACCAGCAGGAGGCGAGGCATCAGGAGTTAGCCCAGGAGGAGCAGCGAGCCCATCAGCTGCAGGAGCGGCACCCGCTGCAGCGGCCGCAGCAGCAGAACCTGGAGACGCCCAACCTGCTGACCACCTGGAGATCATTCGCAGGCAGAGGGGCGCCGTCGAGCTGTGCGACAGCCCTGAGAGCAGGGTTGCGAGAGCGAGGGGCGTTCCAGCGATGCCACCGCTTGCCGAACGTCAACTACATCGACTTACCCACTGGCTGTGTCGCGCGTGGTGCGAGTCTTGCGCGGTCGGAGGAGGGCGCGAAGAAGTTCATCCCAGGACGGACCAGAAGAGAGACGCGCCCCAGGTCTGGATCGACTACTCGTCCCCAGGAATGAAGGGCACCGATGGCGCGATGACGCTGCTAGGCTGCCTGGACTTCGAGTCGTCGGCTATCGAGAGTGCGAGCGTCGTGGAGAAGGGCGCGGTGGATTGCGGCATCAAGGTCCTGGTGCAGGCGTTGCAGTACTGGGGCCGCAAGCGCGTGGTGGTGTCGAGTGACCGGGGGAAGGCGATCACGGCGCTTGCGAGAGCGGCAGCAGCCGCGCGGGGCGGGGAGACGGCGTTGCTGGTCGGCCCGCGGCTCGATTCCAAGTCCAAGGGTCCGACCGAGGTGGCTGGAGGCAGAGTCCAGCCGCTCATTCGCGCACTCGTGCGCACCGCACACCGTCAATGCACGCTGCAAAGTGGAGCTGAAGCCAAGCGAGCCGATCAGCAGTTGGTTGGCGAGGCGCGCAGGCAAGATCCTCACGAGGTTTACCGTGGGAGAAGATGGGCTGACACTGTATCGTCGGCTCAAAGGACGAGATTACCACGGTCAGATCGCAGAGTTCGCGGAGACCGTGATGCGCAAGTTGCCCCCAGGAACCGCTGGGAAGATGGAAGCCAGATGGGTTGGCAAGGGCACCTGGCTCGGCAAGGCGAACGTCCGCGATGAGCGCGTGTTCGGCACGCCACGGGGGCGGTTCTTCTCGAGATCGATCGCCAGGAGGCCCGACGAGAAGCGGTGGGACAATAACCTATTCAGCCAGATCATCTGCGCACCCTTCGACCCGAAGGCAACGCTGCTGGCGCGGGAGGCCGCGATCAGGCCGAGGTACCTGACCAAGGGGGTTCTCAACCGGTTGGGTCGGGCACCTGGCTGCCCAGCTTGTGACGAGACGGGCCAGTGCCGCGCTGCGGAGTGCAGGGCCAGACTGGGGTCTTTGCTGGACACGGGGGACATTGCGAAGGGCTTGGCAGCACAGGCTGGAGCGCGAGCTGAGGCACCACCACCAGCTCGAGAAGCGGTCAGAAAGCAGCCGAAGCGTGCACCAGCAGAGGGGCCAGGGCGCAGAGCAGCAGCGGCCGCGGCAGCAGCCGCAGCAGCAGCTCCCAGCGCAGCAGAAGACGTGGCGATGGATCATGAAGAGGAAAGCGCTGAGATGACGGCGCGGGATCCCGTGGAGATTTCCGAAGGAGTGAAGCGACAGGTCTCAGAAAACGAGGGGGGGCCAGAGAGCAAGAAGGCGCGCGTAGTCGGCGGGCTGGCCGTCAACGTCATGCCAATGGAGCTGTGCGCGGTGGACCTGGGCGAGTGCGCCGCGGAGCCGTGCGAGGAGATGACCTTTTCAACGTCAAGGGGGCGCTCTCTGGGCAGCTGCTTCCCGCAGAGAAGGTTCGAGAAGGAAGAGCTCGAGAGCGTGCCAAGATGAAAGAGCATGGAGCGCTCGAGCGGGTCCACGTCACGGATGCGAAAGGCAAGCGCGTTCGGTGCAAGTGGTTGCAGGACCGGAAGGTGGGCGCCGTCGCTATGCGGTGCAGGTTTGTGGCCATGCAGGTTGCCTGCCAGGCGCGCGAGGACGCATTCGCTGGGGCGCCCCCGCTGAAGTTCGTCAGGCTGGCGCTGGTGCTGGCAGCGGCGTTCAGAAACCACATGAAAGTCTACCTGATAGGGCTCTCGGACATCAGCAGCGCGTTTTCCCACGCTGAGATGGGCGAGGACGCGTGCGCGGTGCCGCCCTCAGGTGAGGAGGGGCCGAATGTAGTTTGGCAGTTGCGGATGGCGCTGTGCGGGACCAGGGGAGCGAGCAAGCCGTTCCAGCGCAAAGTCATTGGGGCGTCAGGGCTTCATCCGCATGTTGGTGACAGTGATGGTGTTCTACCACGTCCAGAGGGCATCTACATCGTGGTGCACGGAAACGACTTCATGGCCGTGGGGGCGCTCGAGGACTTGAGGTGGCTTAACGAGATCCTAGAGGCGGAGTTCGAGGTGAAGCGGGCGCCGTTCGTGGGGCCCGCAGAGGCTGGGGGCGAAGCGACGTCTGGCCATTTCCTGAAGAGGACGGTTAGCTGGACAGAGAAGGGTTTCCACTGTGAGAGCGACGCGAAGCACGCGAGGACAGTGGTCGAGGCCTACGGGAAGCTGCCAGCGGCGAGGGAGATCTCGCCGGCTTCCCAGAGCATCGGGAAGAAGGTGCCAACGGCGTTGGACAGGCTGGGATACGCGCAGAAGAAGCTGTTCCAGTCGGCGGCGCCGACGGCACTGTACTTGGCAGCAGACGGACCTGACTTACAGTTCGCGACGAGCTGGATCGTGCGCGGGATGCAGGAGCCACTGGTGCTCCACGAGCTGGAGCTGAAGCGGTTGGCTGCCTACTTAGCCACGCACCCGCAGATGATGTGGAACTTTGAGTATCAGGAGTTACCGAGCGAGGTGACCATCGTGACGGACGCGGACTGGGCTGGAGATGAAGTGACCCGCAGGAGCCGCGGTTGAGGATTCGATTACATTGGGAGTGCGTGCATCGACAGCTGGGCCGGTGAGCAGGCGACGCGTGCGCTGAGCAGTGGAGAAGCTGAGTGCGTGGAGATGACCAACGGCGCTGCGCGGGGGATCCTCGCGAAGAACCTGTCCGAGGAGATGGGCATCAAGATGACAGTGAAGGTGTGCGGTGACAGCGCCGCCGCCATCGGGGTGCGCTCGAGACTGGGCGCGGGGCGAATCAGACTCCCGGGCGCGAAGTACCTGCGCATGCGCGGGGAAGTGGCCGAGAAAGAAGTGCGCGCCGCGAAGGTGCCGACGGCAGAGAACGTAGCGGATCTGATAGCGAAGGCTCTGGATCCCGCTCGTCATCACAGGCTTGCGAAGAGACCGCCCATCATGACCTTGGAGATCTCGAGGGGCTCACCAAGGCATGGGCGCAGTGAGGTTGCAGCGCTGTGCGTTTCACAGTGATTGCTATTCTTCGTTGATTTCCACGTGCAGAGCGCAGCCGAGAACCGTGCAGCCCGAAGCCGCGAAGAGAACAGAGTTTCTATTTACTGAAACCGACTTGTTAGGGCCAGACGTCGGGACGCCGACCATAGCCCGCAGCAGGTTGAGAATCGAGATGTAATACCGTGTGGGCTGGGGCGCGATCTCGTGTTTCCGTCAGTTGTCGATTTGCGACATCTGCCGAGGATGAGTGCGTGTCATATCGCCGCCTAGCCTGATAATGTTTCAGAAGGATCTGATTTGCTGTGCTCCGCAGCCCCTCGCGAGGCTCGAGAAAAATGTTCCGGTTGTGAGATCAGATACCTCCCGCAGCTACCGCCGCCCATTTTGGTCTCTCGGACGAACGGTCATTCATTGTCCCTGGGTGCGTGCCTGAAACGGGGATCCGTGGTGAGGGTTCTGCTTGTCGCGTTGTTGGTGTTGAACTCCCATTACTGAAGAATCACTATTGTTGACCCCTCCCCCTTCGGTGCACATTGTATTTTTAGATTGAAGTGCCCCTCCCGGCGCTCGCACCTTGTTTTTTAGCAAGGACAGGCTTCGTCCTCAAACTGTGTTGTTGGCCCCCCCGGTTACAACAACCACGGTTCCCGCTTCAGATTTCATCCCAATTTAGCCAGGACCCCCGCTCCCGCCTGAGGTTTCCTCGCATGTTATTCAGGGATCGCGCTCTCGCTTGGGACGTCCTTACAATTTATTCAGGAACCGCTTTCTCGGCGCTCTGGAGTCGCGCTCTCGCTGGAGACTTGCTTGCAACTTGCTGAAGAATAGCGCCCTTGCGTTGGAATTTCGCGCAGTTTATTCAGGCCAGCCACAGCTGGGGGAGCTGTGGTCCTTCCCCCTCTGGGGACCCACCGATTTCGACGTCCCTTTCGAGAGATCGTCGATGCGATGGGTTCCCCCAAGGGGGTGAGGACCACAGCTCCCCCAGTTATGGCTAGTCGGCTGCTCAAGCGCCGGGCTCCCGACACTCAGGCAACAAGGAGTCTCGCTCACGACGCTTAGGACTCCCTCACAGATTATTTAGATATCGGGATCTCGCTGCCCTTCGTGGCCCCGTTGCAGCCCTTCGTGGCCCCCTCGCTGCCCTTCGTGGCCCCGTTGCAACCCTTCGTGGCCCCCTCGCTACCCTTCGTGACCCCGTTGCAGCCCTTCGTGGCCCCCTCGCTGTCTTTAGTAGTGGCCCCGTTGCAGCCCTTCGTGGCCCCCTCGCTGCCCTTCGTGGCCCCGTTGCAGCCCTTCGTGGCCCCCTCCCTGCCCTTCGTGACCCCGTTGCAGCCCTTCGTGGCCCCCTCGCTGCCCTTCGTGGCCCCGTTGCAGCCCTTCGTGAGCCCCCCTCGCTGCCCTTCGCGGCCCCGTTGCAGCCCTTCGTGGCCCCCTCGCTGCCCTTCGTGGCCCCGTTGCAGCCCTTCGTGGCCCCCTCGCTGCCCGTCGTGGTCCCATATATGTATGCCCTTCGTGGCCCCCGCTCGTTCGCGCCCGTCGTGGCCCCATGTGCATGCCCTTCGTGGCCCCGCTGTCGCCGTTCGTGGCCCCTTCGCTGCCCTTCGTGGCCCCGTTGCTGCCCTCAGTGGCCCCGTCCTTGCCTTCCGCGGCACAATATACGTATGCCCTTCTGGGCCCCCGCTCGTTCGCGCCAGTCGTGGCCCCATGTGCATGACCTTCGTGGCCCCGCTGTCGCCCTTGGTGTCCCCCTCGCTGTCCTACGTGGCCCAGTTGCTACCCTCAGTGGCCCCGTCGTTGCCTTCTGTGGTCCCGCATTATCTGCCCCTCGTGGCCCCTGCTCGTTCGCGCTCTGCGTGGCCGCATACGCATTCCCTTCGTGTCCCCGCTGTCGCCCTTCGTGGCCTACTTCGTGCCCTTCGTGGCCCTGCTGTCGTTCTCTCTCTCGCTCTCGCTTTCGCTCGTCGTCGTCGACGTCGTCGTCGTCGTTGTCGTGGTCGGTCCCCTGTCTGTCCCTCTTGGGGTCGGGCTGCCGCCGATCAGCGTTGCGGCTGGCCAGGCCGACGGTCCGCGGCCGCCCGGCCTGCAGGGAAGAAAGGTACATATACCCTCCAAAAGGGGTACAATCGAAGACGAAAGGGCGGGTACCGAGGGTTTGGGAAATACGCGTTGACGGACACTCGATGCTGTTGTTGTTGTTGTTGCAACTGCTGCTGCTGCTGCTGTTGTTGTTGTTGTTGTTGCTGCTGCTGCTGCTGCTGTTGTTGTTGTTGTTGTTGGTGGTGTTGGTGTTGTTGTTGTTGTTGTTGCTGCTGCTGCTGCTGCTGCTGTTGTTGTTGTTGTTGTTGTTGTTGTTGTTGTTGTTGGTGTTGTTGTTGTTGTTGTTGAACATTATTTCTTCTAAAGCATAATTATTGTTGGGGCCCCTGGTGCATGGCTCTCCCGCCGCGCCTAGGCCGCAGCCACATTCTCATCATTTTCGTGAGGAAGTCTCAGGCAAAACGGGGGAGTCCGGATCCGGTTGTTTGTTACGATCGGCTTTCCCTTGCAAAAAATAAGCTAAAGTGGACATTTCTTGTTCTAACATAACCAAACTTCAAGAATCCCTTGCAAACAAATAAGGTAAAGTGGACATTCGCGCGCGCAAGACGAAATCCTTCCAAAACCTTAGTTTTCGTAGCGATTTTAACATAACAAACATCAAAAAACCAATGGTTTTTCAAACAAAAATGTCAAAATTTCATCCCGCGCGCTCTTGCGGATTCGTAGGAAACCCAACACTTTTTAAACATTTCTGTCAAACGGGCTTTTGCGAGCAACTTTTTCGAACTTCTGCAACAACGGTTGCGCACCTGCCAGGGCCATCATCCCTGTCAAATAATACCATGCGGGACACATTCGTTTTTTCTTCGCGCGCGCACGCCGTCGTCGTCGGCCGCGGGGCCCTGAATAGTAGCCACGGTCGTCCGCATGCCACGAAGTGAAGTGTCCGAACGTCATAGGGCGGGAAGCTGGGTGTGGGTGGTGGCGAAGAGTCGTTTGGAAATTTGGTAGAGCTTGAACCGGCCCCCCCACAAAGTGGGGGTATTGCCCGCCTCCTATGAAAACCCTGGCACTGGTGAGAACGGAGTGTCCCCACGTGCTAGTAATTGTTGTTGTTGTTGTTGTTGTTGTTGTTGTTGAACATTATTACTTCTAAAGAATAATTATTGTTGGGGGCCCCTGGTGCACGGCCCCCTCGCCGCGCCTAGGCCGCAGCCATGTTTTCATCATTTTCGCGAGGAAGTCTCCGGCAAAACGGGTTGGTCCGGATCCGGTTGTTTTGTTCCCCCCCGCTTTCCCTTGCAAAAAACAATATAAAATGACATTTCTTGTTCTAACATAACCAAACTTGCAAGAATCCCTTGCGAAAAATAAGGTAAAGTGGACATTCGCGCGCGCAAGACGAAATCCTTCCAAAAACTTAGTGTTCGTAGCGATTTTAACATAAAAACATCGAAAAACCAATGGTTTTTCAAAACAAACGTGTCAAAATTTCATCCCGCGCGCTCTTGCGGATTTGTAGGAAACCCAACACTTTTTAAACATTTCTGTCAAACGTGCAAAAACCAGTACAGGTGTCCAGTGTTGGAACAGGGGGAAAAGTCGTATACTAAGCTAGCGTCCAGAAAATGTTACCACAACAAGTCACTGTACCCATGCGCCAGTGTAGTAGCCACGGTCGTCCGCAGGCCACGAAGTGAAGTGTCCGAACGTCATAGGGCGGGAAGCTGGGTGTGGGTGGTGGCGAAGAGTCGTTTGGAAATTGTGGTAGAGCTTGAACCGGCCCCCCCACAAAGTGGGGGTATTGGCGGGCGTCGTATGAAAACCCTGGCACTGGTGAGAACGGAGTGTCCCCACGTGCTAGTAATTGTTGTTGTTGTTGTTGTTGTTGTTGAACATTATTACTTCTAAAGAATAATTATTGTTGGGGCCCCTGGTGCGCGGCCCCCTCGCCGCGCCTAGGCCGCAGCCATGTTTTCATCATTTTCGTGAGGAAGTCTCCGGCAAAACGGGTTGGTCCGGATCCGGTTGTTTTGTTACGGGCGGTTTTCCCTTGCAAAAAATAAGGCAAAGTGGACATTTCTTGTTCTAACATAACCAAACTTCAAGAATCCCTTGCAAAAAATAAGGTAAAGTGGACATTCGCGCGCGCAAGACGAAATCCTTCCAAAACCTTAGTGTTCGGAGCGATTTTAACATAAAAACATCAAAAAACCAATGGTTTTTCAAACAAAAAAATGTCAAAATTTCATCCCGCGCGCTCTTGCGGATTCGTAGGAAACCCAACACTTTTTAAACATTTCTGTCAAACGGGCTTTTGCGAGCAACTTTTTCGAACTTCTGCGACAACGGTTGCGCACCTGCCAGGGCCATCATCCCTGTCAAATAATACCATGCGGGACACATTCGTTTTTTCTTCGCGCGCGCACGCCGAAATCTTCAAAAACCATTGGGTTTCTTAGGAATTTTAGCATCGCGCAACATAAAATCATACGAATCGCACCGTAGGTCCTCGAAACGTTACCACCAAAAAACCAGTACAGGTGTCCAATGTTTGAACAGGGGGAAAAGTCGTATACTCAGCTAGCGTCCAGAAAATGTTACCACAACAAGTCACTGTACCCATGCGCCAGTGTAGTAGCCACGGTCGTCCGCAGGCCACGAAGTGAAGTGTCCGATCGTCATAGGGCGGGAAGCTGGGTGTGGGTGGTGGCGAAGAGTCGTTTGGAAATGTGGTAGAGCTTGAACCGGCCCCCCCACAAAGTGGTGGTATTGGCGGGCGTCGTATGAAAACCTTGGCACTGGTAAGAACGGAGTGTCCCCACGTGCTAGTAATTGTTGTTGTTGTTGTT